AAATTGGCCGGTGGGGCACTCCCCTGGGGCCGGGTGGGTCGCGGCGGGGAGCACCGCTTGGGCGCCCAAGGCCGCCCTGCGCTGGCGCCTGGAGCGGACTCGCGTGGACTCGCGCGCTCTGGCAGGCTCTAGCCTCCGTTGTCTCCTCTTTTTCTCCTTTTCTTTCCTCTCACTTCTCTTTTCCTTTGTCGGCCTTGGCCGTCGCCCCCTCTCCAGTTCTCTCCTGCTCCCTGAACTTTACTCGGATTTCCAACTTTCCTGAACTTTGGTCCTGTTCCCGCTGCGTCGTCATCGTCTGTCTCCAAGTCTCCGCCAGGCATCTCCCTCTACGCCCCCAGCCTCAGCTTGCCAGGATCTGGGACGGGGGAGTTTGGGGACGGCAGCGCTGAGGTTGGCGAGAACCTCTGACTTCGGGCCAGGAGGTGGGGATGGGGAGCGGGCTCTGACTTCGGAGCCCTGGGGCCCGCTGCGTGTTCCCAGGGAGCGGGACTCTTCACCCTTCCCTCACCTGGGATCCCTGCTCCCGGGTCGGTTAGGAAAACCCTCTGAGACAACTCAAGGCTTTGAAAGCGTTTGGCAACCAGTGTCCTGTCTCTCCACGGGATTGGGATTTAGAATGAAGGCCGACCTGCAGCACAGGCGCAATTATTGGGCGCCTGCTGTGTGCCCACCTTACATTCCTCCTCCCGCATCTTCTTCCCTCGGTACTTGTGCCCCGGACAGGGAAGATCCTGGCGTTTCCCTCCGAAACGGCTCTTTTGCAGGGGAGGGAAGGCAGGCATCATTCCAAACCCAGTTCTTGCAAAGCCTTTTTGTGCCACAGGCCAGTGTTCCTCCCTGAGATACAGGGATGGAACTCAAGGCTCAGAGAAGTGGACTGATTCTCCTGGAGTCACACAGCTAAGGGAGGAGGAGGTGATTCCACCCTCTAACCAGGCATTAGTGCCCATTCATTGGCCTCCTCAGGGCGTCACTCCTCCTTCTGGCCTGGCCTGGCACCAAACCTTTAAGGCCCGGAGGAGGGTCATAGGGGTCACCTCGCCTCCCCCCACTGGGTGCTAAGGCCCGACCTTTCTCAGACTTCCTTGTATTCCACTCCTGCCAGTCTTTTTTTTTTTTTTTTTCTATCTTTCTAGCTCTGTCTCTGTTTTGGCCTCCCTCCCACCCGTCTTTGTCTTCAACCTACCCCATGAAAGCCCCACGGCTCAGAAGTTGAGGTCAGAACTTCCCCCTCGTTCTTCCAATGAGCTAGGTGGCCCGCATCTTGCTGCTGGGAGCGGAGTAGGGCCCGTCTGCCACGGACCACCAGGATCCGAGCTGCAGGAGCAATTCCATGCCCTGCCTGCCCTGCTGCCCGCCCAGCTCCTCCCCAAGCCGAATCCACGAGGTCCTGGTGGGCGCTCCAGCAGAGGGCTGGGGGAAGGCAGACGTTCCAAACAGCAGCCCGGGACCGCGCTTCTATTTTCTTCCTTTGCCCGCTTGACCGACTTTGGCTTCGCTCAAGGGCCTGAGGTGTCTGCGCCGCGCTTGGCTTCGCTTCCCGCCTCTCGCAGGAGGCCCTGGACTGTGGTTTCCGCCGCCACATCCCTGCCTGGCGCCCGCGAGAGCTTGGCAAGCTTCCCGCACATGCTGGGAGCCAAGTGCTCTGAGCTTCAGCCTCAGTTTCCTCCCTCCTTTCAGATCCCGAAAGTGACGGACGAAACGGCGTAGGGAAGAGGAAGGCGGAATGGATCGGTTAGTGGCAGAACCACAACACCTGGGTGCGGTGGGGGTCAAGACTAGACCCCTGGCCGCCTTCTGCGCGCCCCCTCTCCGCGGACTTCTTCCCACCACCAAGCGCAGGGATAACGCTGGCGCTGTGTCTCTTCCCGCTCCAGGAATGGAGCCCACCAACCTCCATGACCCCAGCCTTCCCTGATGGCGCCCCACAGCTCCTGGAGCTGAGTTGCGGCGTGGGTGCGCTCAGCTGCGTGTAGATCAAGACAAGCCAGGTCCCAGCCATCGGGTGCAGGCTTGGGGGAGACAGGGCTGGTTCCTTGTGCGCTGCCTGTTTCATTGCGATCGCTGCTGGCCTCGGTGTGGTTGCGGACTCCCACGGGGCGCGTTCCAGCAAAGCGTTGTCACATCTACTGAGCTTAAAGAGATGCCCTGGAACTTCAGATGAGTCCATGGTTTCCATTAAGCCTCAGTTGTCTCCTCTGAAAAATGGGGATGACAGGTGCCACGGAGGACCATGGCTAGGAGTAAATGAAAACAAAACAAAACAAAACTGTATGCATCACTCAGCCCAACTCCTGGCACCTGGTGTTGGGCACCCAAAACTCACTGGGCCTCAGGCTCTCTCTATCCATCTATCTTATCCACTCTCTCCAAGTGTATACTGTGTATACTGAGAGTATACCTAAGAAAGCACGTATTCTTAGAAGACTACCTTGCACAGGCTTGGCCCTCTTTCTATTGGTGTTACTCCCGTGACCTTGCCCAGTTCTGTTCCAGCTCTGTCCGAAGCTCATTACTTGTCCTCTTCCCAAGCTTAAATGGCAATAAGATCCTTCCTTCAGCTTCTCACTCAGGGCTTGATGCCTCTGTGGCCCCTTTCCCGAATCCCAGAATTTCAAAGTTGCGAGGGAGAGGGTGCTTCTTCTTGCCCTTGCGCTGCAGTTAAGATGTCAGCTCAGAGACCAGCGCCCCAGCTTTCCACTCCAGGTGGTCCCCTTGTCCTGGCCAGTGGGGTGGTGTGGGGCTGGTCGGAGGGTAGAGTTAGGGACCCTGCATGGATTCCTGGGGCCAGACCAGCTCCTGGGGGGTGGGGAGTTTCTTAGACCTGCAGAGGGAAGAGAACTTGTGGAAATGAGGGAACAATTTGGGGCACCCGGGGTGTCCCTGGCCAGAGCCCCTGCATCGATGAGCTCTGTGAACACGGAGTCTGCGTGCGACTGGGAGGCTGCGTGTGATCAGGGCCGGAATTGGCTTCACGCTCCCAGGTGGGGTGCAGGGAGGCCTCCTGCTTCTCAGAACAGCTGTGTAGCACCGATGTCCCCACTCCCAGGGCCGGACTGCAGCTTCCCCACTCCTAGTCAGCAGCAGGAGGCCAGGGCACCCTTCCTCAGTTCGCTGGGCGCCACTCCTTCCCAGCCCGGAGAGGCTGGTGGGGGAGGGGAGAGAGCCAGGTGCGGTGAGGGCGGGGTGGGTGAGAGACAAAAGATGGAGGGATGGAAACAGACAATGACAGGAAGTGGGGGAGACAGTCAGAGAGGGCACACTTGGGGAGAAGGGAGGAAGGAGAAAACGACGAGAGAGGGACAGAGACCCTCATACTGTCGAAGAGGTTGGGAGAGGCATGGTAGAGAGGGCAGATGAAGGGCAGTGACAGACGGACAGTGACTGAAAGAAAAAAAGAAAAAGACATAGAGACCAGGAGAGGCAGCCCAGGTGCAGTTCGGGGTGAGAGGGCAAAAAAAAAAAAAAAAAAAAAAGCAGAGAGTCAGGGTCAAGTGCAAGGAGACACAGAGGGAGACAGAGAAAAGAGACAACAGATGAAAAAGTGGGGAACAGGAAGGGATGTGGGAAAAGAATGCCCCAAAAGGGACAGAAGAAAGACAGCGGGCCAGGGGAGAGCCCGGTGAGGCCGGGGCAGCGCACCCAGCGCACCCAGCGCACCCAGCGCATCCAGCGCGCCCAGCGCGCCCAGCGCGTCAGCAGCCCTGACGCCCTACTTACCCGGCGCGGAGGATTACCCGGCACGGTGCGCCCGCCTCCATGAAACCCGGGCTGAGCTGCTCCGGTGGACCAATTCCGCAGCGGCCCCAGCCCTTGGGGAATATGGTTTTCAAACCATAGAAAACATCAGATACCGGCGACTTAGGAGATAAATTATCATTCATTAGGGGTGTCCAGGGGTCCCCCAACAAGGCCTTAGGGGTGAGGATGGGGGAGGGTGCAGCTGAAAGCTTGCAAATTAGTGCGGAAGAAGACACTGCGTTCTCTCTGCGCCGCTGGCTTGGCACAGGAAAGCCCCTCTCCTCCCCTGTGACAGCCATTCTGACCCACAGGGGAGGTCTGGTTGGTAGGGTCTAGGTGGCCAAGAAGAGGAGCCATTCCTCAGACTCCTCCAGATTCCCAGAGTGCACTGGGCTGGAGGGCAAGGCGCTGAGCAATTTCCTAGCTGCTCCCTCTGGAGAGTGATGGGGTCCGGGTTCTGGGGAGCAGTGCCCAGCACTCTGGGCACAGCACCTCTTTGTTCCATGGGGCGGGGGAGAAGGCTGGGGAGGAGTGAGGAGGAGGGTTAGATAGGAGCCTAGTTTAGGTGAAGTTTCCCCTCCTACAGCGTCACTCCAACTAGTTCAAATAAATCACAGCTCATCTTCCCTCCACTTCTGCCTTCTCCCTTACTGCCTTCCGATCTGAGGACAAACGTATTTTAAAAGGACATTGATTAAAAAGATGGTATTTATTGTTTTAGAGAGAGGGGAAGGAGAAGGAGAGGGAGAGAAACATTGCCCAGGTTGGACCCTAGCCCGCAACCCAGGCCTAAGCCTTGACTGGGAATCAAACCAGGAACCTTCTGGTTCACAGGCTGCCACTCAGCCCACTGAGAGCCACTCCAGCCAGGGCTAAAAGGACACTTTTTAACAGTAGCAAAAAAAAGAATTTATTTCCTTCCTTCTCTCCTCTCTCTCTCTCTTTCCTTCCTTCATTTTTTTCTTTCTTTCTGTTGTCGTTGCAAAGGCCTGTGTTTGCTTTGCTTTATTTAACAAACAGCTGAGACAGTTTGCTTTAAAAGAGCAGTAAAAAAAAAAAAAAAAAAAGTGCCCACAGGGCAGGCCCAGCACTAACTGTGAGCATGCACTTCGGACGTGTGTGTGTGTGTGTGTGTGTGTGTGTGTGTGTTTAGGCCTCCTGAGAGGGTTTGCAGTGATAAATGGGACCTGCTTCAGGTGCAGAAAGCTGGGAGGGGTAGGAGGAGGAATGCCCAGACAGATTTTCACCTGTCCCTACAGCTGCCATCGACAACACTTAGAGCCTCCAGAAATGACCCTTGGTGCCGACTTGTCTGGAAGCCATCAGGGTAAGTTTTGAAGCAGGAATCTTCAAGTGGACCAGAGGGCAAGCTTGGCTTCCCCTCCCCTCGCTGCCTCCCCCCCTTCCCTGTGGCTGTCCTCAAGTGCTGACCAGTGGAGCAGTCTGGCTGCCTGGCTACCTCCCACCCGCACCCCCCTGCCCGCCCTGCCTACTGACCCCTCCCTCTCCATTTCCTCTGTAAGACAAATATCATCATTGATTTTTAGCTCCCTTTGGTGCTGCTGCCTAATGAGGGCTGAGTAGGGTGGTGGGGGGTTTGTAGCCAGTTCACCAGGCTACCCTCCCGCCACACCCCCGCCCCCACCCCCACCCCCACCCCCAGGAGCTGGTCCGGCCCCAGGAGTCCATGCGGGATTCCTGACGCTACCCTCCAGCCAGTTCCTGCCCCCTGCCGCCAGCCCCACCCCACCCCACTGGCCAGACAGTGGAGCGGCTGATAATATCCAGATGCCTCTGGAATCTTGCTTCCAGTCCTCCTAGCACTCGGCCTGGCCCACAGCAGTGGGGGCAGTGGGCACCAGCAGCCTGCCCTGAGGCTCGTTACCACCTCTCAGAGGCCGATGAAAGGGCCCACTCAGCTGGGCCCTTCAGGACCGGGGACCTTGGAGCCAGGACACTCGGAAAGCATGTTCGACACCCATGCTGGGGACTTGGAGTTCCCCGCTTTCTGCCCCTGGCCCCACAGAGGTCTAGGAGGCTGAGAGGGGGCAGATGACAGGCCACCAGCTGCCAGAGAAGCCACAGGGAAAAGCCCAGCACTTCGCCTGAGAATGAGCAGGAACAGGGCGCCTGCCTGGGCCTCCATGCTTGTGCTGGGGTAGGTGGGGGGAGGCTGTGATACATTCACGTTTTCTGTACACTAGTATCACCTTCACGGTGGTTTCCTTAACGCGTATGTTAACACGCAGCTCGCTTTTTCCAAACACCTCGTTTGTTGAAAAAGGACCTCTTTAGTTCGGTAGCATAAACCGAACGTTTGTCTCTCTTCCCAGAAATCGAAGCAAAGAGTAAAATGAGAAGCAAGGGAAACAAAGCCGTGTTCCAAGGCTCTGAGCCCGAGGTCCACTCTCTCTTCGCTTATGGTGACATCTGCCAGGGTGACCAGGGTGTTCAAGACGGGTCAGCCCTAAGCTGAGACTGGACGCCATCGGAAGGACTGAAAAAGAATGGAAGTGGACATTGTTTTTTCGCTCTGGGATCCTGTGCGTGGAGAGGGGTGTTCTGCTCCCACGCTCGCACCCCTCGGGGCATTTGGGGGACCCAACTTGCTCTCCTAGAGCCTTTTAACAGGACAGTACCATTAAGGCTCCTGCGGGCAGATTTTGAGGTTCGGGGCTCCGCTGCTCCCCTCGCCTCGGAATCATGGCTGAGCTTTTGCTCTGTTCACGCATTCATTCATTCATTCATTCATTCACCGTGAAGGGCTTCCCCCGAATTTGGGGCCGTGGCCCCCGTCGGTTACTGCCTCAGAATAAGACTTTTAAAAGACACAAGATTACTAGTTAAAAGCAGTACGGAAAAAAATAACAGTATCATCAACACATGCTCCTTATGAATGTGATAAAGGACACAGTGGCCTTACTATTGTACTTCCGAAGGCAGGGTGGGCGGAACAACATCGTGGGCAACTCAGTCACACACCCGTCTTCAATAGGAGAAGGTCACATTACTTGTGATTCTGCTGGGGACTAAGTGACAGCCACTGCCAACCCTGCGGGTGTATTACCTATATTCAAAATGGAACGGAAGACTCATTTCACTGCAACGAAAGTGTGATTTTTCCCCCCATGCAAGTTCACAGGTCACAACATCCCTCCAGGGACTCCCGCACCCCTGTTGGTGTCCCTGGGGGGACCCCAGCGTAGGAAGCCGAAGTATAGAGACAATGAATTGGTCTCTTGGTCTCAGTAGGGACAGAGAAAAGTTTTCATCAGGAACAGGCATCGTTTGGAAGGCTGACTCAATCTGCTGACAGGGCAAGCCAGGGCAGAAGAAGTTACTATCAAGAACGTGTTAAGGAATATTTCTCAGCGGGTCCAAGACCACCCCGCCCCGGAGGTCTGGCTTAATGCGGTCTGAGCTCAGAGAGGGTAAGTTTCTCCTGAAAGCACCTTCATCTCCACACACCCACACTCCACCTCTGGGGTGACATTCTGGGCTGCTGTGGCCTCTCTGGCCCCTCAGTTTTTGCACCGACATAAAGGGTCCCTGCCTCCTTCCCTCCCCCCAACACCAGATGCCTTTGCTGCCTTTTTTTTTTTGCCCCAGAGGATCTGTGGGCAGATCCCACTTCAGCCCTGAGTAACCCTCTCCTAAAGATGAAGTCAGGAGGGTTGCATTTTCTGCCTTTAAACAAAAACACAGTCTGTGCTCGAGGAAGGGCAGTTGCCAGTGGCCCTGGGACAGCCGCACTCACTGCCCTTAGATAAGGACCCACGGGGGCGGGCAGTCCGAGGAGGCTGCTGTAGGCACAGGCGGAAATGGGGAAGCTGGAAACTGTCCGAACACCCTCAGACAAATCAGGTGTAGCTTCAGTTTGAAGGAGGGAACCTCAGTGGATTCTGGGGTCTTAGCAACACAAGAACAGAAGTATTTATGGCCAGTTTACTCTGTGCATTATGCCAGGTCTAATATTTATTCATTCATTTACTCATTCATTCATTCATTCATTCAACAAGTGTTTACCAAGCCCCTACTATGTGTCTAAGGCTAAGCAGATTGTAGCCCTAAACACATCAAAATGATTGTCCCTAGGGTCCTTCCGCTCGTGGAAAGAACGATGAGAAACAAAACAAAGAGCTAAAATAAATATTGGATGGGGATGAGTCATATGGGAAAAAAATCAGGAAAGGGATTTGTGAATGGGGGCAGTCTGAGAGGTTCATTTTAAAGGGTGGTCAGAAAAAAAGCTTTACTGAGAAGGTGACATTTTAGCCAAGACCTGGGGGAGGTAGGGTTGAGCCCAGGGAAGGCTGAGCAGGTGCAGGAGACCAAGACTTCCTTGACCGTCTGCACTTTAAACTTGGCCACTGCCTGTCCCTTGTCTTCACCAGTCCAGCAGCACTCAAAGGTCCCATTTTATTGCTGGGGAAGGGGAGGCTCCAAGAGGTTAAGTGACTTGCCCAAGGTCACTCAAATAGCTTCAAGTAAAACTGGAATCTGAACCCACAACTCAAGGTCTCTTCCTTCGTCACCAGGCTTCCTCGGACACATCCGTGGGAAGAAGAAAGGAAGAAATGCGGAGGTAATGGCGGAATGACAGAGAAAGAGCAGAAAGTCAAATTCGCCCTCGGGCATCATTAACTCAGTCTTACAGCTAGGGAAACTGAGGCCCAGAGAGGAAAAGGCAAGGTCACAAAGAAAAAAAAAATCCTAACGGCTAGATGCCTTAGCTCATCATTGGCTCTTCCTCTTGGCCTGGCACCAAATGGCAAGTCCCTTTGGCTCTCTGGGCCTCAATTTGCTGTTCTACAAAATGGGCTAATCATATCAGCTTCTCGCAATTGCTGAACAGGAAAGACAAGCTCCCTTCTGAGAAAGAATTTACCCTAATGCCTGGCACCGAGCTGGTGCCAAGTAAGTAGATTTCCTCATTCTTCCTTGGCAGCGTTTCATCCAGAGTAGGGGTGAAGTGCCTGCTGAGTTTTGTGAGCTACGCTAGCACTCTCCAAAGTTTGCTGCTGTTGTTTTACTACAATGGTTCCAACAGAACAAACAAGAGACCCTGGTAGAATGCATTCCCATACACCCACCACCTGGCTCCGGGGATTCTGTCGTTGGCCAGTCTCGGTACATTTATACCCATGGTGGATTGTTTAAATGCAAATGCAGACGCCATAGCCTTGCATTTGGAAATACTTCAGCGCGTGACTCTGAAAAATAAGATGAATTTGAGGAAGACACACAACCCCAACACTGTTATCCTACGCTGCCCCCGCCCCTGCAAAAGCCATGATTGTGTAAATCTTATGAAATATCCAGTTAGGACTCAATGTTCCCTGATTGTCTCCCTTATTTTTATTATTTCATTACACTTGGTTTAATGAAACCAAGTCAGGACGCAGCCCAGGGGTCCACACTGTGTTTAATTCATCCCCCCCTTTTTTCTTTCTGAAAACACTTAGAACGGAAATAAGGGAATCATCCTGACTCTCACCATTTGCATTCCTGTGGTGCCATTTTTGACGTTTCTCTGTCCCCGCTGTTTCCCGTACACTGGCCATTAGAAGGACGTGCTTGATGAGATTCCCTGTCGATTCTTTTTTTTAAAGATTTTATTTAGTTAGTTTTAGAGAGAGGGGGAGGGGGGAGAAAGGGAGAGAAACAGCATTGTGTGGTTGCACGCGCCCCCCATCAGGGGCCTGACTGGGAATGGGACCTGCGACCCTTTTGCAGGTCAGTGCTCGAGCCACTGAGCTACACCCGCCAGGGCTCCCTGTTGATGCTTTTGGGGAACTCACTTGACAGACGGTGCTGGCGGGTCCCTGTCTCAGGAGGCACCTTCTGTTTCTTTCTTCTTTGTTGGTTGACCTGGTGAGCACTTCCTGGGCGGATTCATCATGTACATCCTCATCTGTTGCAAAATGGTGATTTTTTACCTTTCGCTTCCTCTTCATTTATTAGCTGAAATACTCCCAAATTTCTTCAGAGGACATCACATCGTTAAAAACCAAGACTTGTCCCTAACCAGGTAGCTCCGTGGGTTAGAGGGTCACCAGGACATGCCAAGGTTGCGGGTTCAATTCCAGGTCAGGGCACATACGAGAAGCAGCCAATGAATGCGTAAATGAAACAAGTCAATGTCTTTCTCCCTAAGATCAAGAATTTTTTTTTAAGTACATATTTAAAAAAAACAACTAAGGTTGGAGTAGGCATGGCCCAATGCCTCTGTATTTTCACATTTCTGCAGCGCACACCTCCTCTGCCAACCTGACGTATTTTACTGAACTACAAGGCCCCTTTCAAAGCAGAACCTTTACAAAGAAATGCGTAGGAAACGGCTTCCCTGCTCAGTGGTCAGGCTGCATACCAGTCCGGGGTGTGCACAACTCTATCAGAAGATAAGAATGAATGTCTTCAATCCAGAGACCAGAGGGGAGACTGTGAAAGCTCGAAAATGCCCGTCCGTGTCCTGGGCCCAAGGGAGGGGGTGGGGGTGGGGTCGTGGGGGTGGGGAACGTCTGCCCAAGGGAACTGGGGGGAATGAAAGGGAAAGGAAGATTCCGCCAAAGCCGCCTCCACCTGGGGGGTCCCAGGCTTCGAGGTTTACAAACCACATACCGCTTCAGGGAAAGGTGAGCTCTTTTATTTTTTTGTTTGGGTTTTTTTTTTTTTTTCATTTTTAATTTTAAAAGACTCACCCCTTCAGAGCAAACGGGAGGAGGTCACTCGCTGGGCAGAGACTTTAAACAAACCCCGTTGCCTGCAGGTCTGCTTGGGAAAGCAGGGGATTTACTCCTCACCCCTCCGCCCCGAGGGGTGTTAACAGCAGAATTAAGGCTGCGGAATCTGGGGGGGGGGGGTGCACGCTGCTGCAGGGGAGGTGTGTCAGAGCCTCTGCAAGGCATTAATCACTTGTTTCTAGTGGGGAAAGGAGAGAAAAACCAGCAGGAGGACAGCGTGGGTTGCTCAGTCTTGGGTTCCCTCCCTGGTGAACCCCGCCGCTGCTCCCCAGATTCCTCTGGCATCAATCAGCTTGCCTTTGTGCGGGTTCCAGAGCAAGGTGCGGTGGGGGCACCCCTCAAAAGGTGGGAGCACTGGGGGTCACTGCCTGCAGAGCAGAGCCCTGCAGCGTGGATTTTGCACCAGTGGAGAGGGTGGGGCTGCTTCCAGACCTGCTGACCTTCAAGTCCCAGCCGCCTTCCAGTGCTTAAGGTGTAACATGCTCCCCTTTTCGTACACATTCCGATGCCCCTGCTTCCCAAGCTCAGACCTGGGAGTCATGATCTGTAAATAAAGAAAAGACACTGTTGTTTTCATGTAAATATTTACTGGAGACAGTGGTTTCCGATGGGGGAAGTGAGCTTGGAAAGCAGACCTGCAGCTGAACCCACTTCTAACCGTAAACTCTTCGGAATTGTGTGACACATGGGTGCGTTCACTACCCAGGAATGAAGAAGCAAAGAAGCACACGTATCTGTGTGTGTGTGATAAAAAAATTAAATCTGCTCGTGGTATAAATCTGAAATCTAGGAAAAAGCTTCGTCACCATTCTCATAATCACTCCCCCTTCCATGCATATACTTTAAAAAAAAATACTGTTTCCGCCTGAGTAGGTTGTATGTGTACAGAGTATCCAATCTGAGAGGTACAAAATGACAAAGTGAGAGCCATTCTCTCTCCCACTTCCTCTCGTAAGTGACGATGGATGTCAACGTGAATCTGTATAGTCACGTGTCTGTATTTACACGCACTCGTGCATGTTACAGATGCATCCCTTTTTATTTTTCTATATTTTAAATGGTTTCTTTTTCACTGGTGTCGCATCATTCTTTTACGTTTGACATCTATCATTCATACCACCATGCATTCTTTTTTTCACATAAAACATTACTTTTTGTCGCGCGTTTATACACATGGAATACCTTTTAATAGCTCATATTTTGCCATGTAAGGGATCGTCCGTATCACAAACAGAGGAGACTCAATGAGACAAAGACGAGGGAGACGGAAGCACCCGGCAGCCAGGGGTAAGTGACAAACAGCAGCGATGTCACCAGGGAGTCGGCTGGGTCAGGTGTCACCCAGACACACACCATTTCCCTGCACGGTTATCAATAATAAATGCAGAACCCCATCAGCTGGACTTCAGGACTTTTGCCTACACTGCAAGCAGACCTTGCTAAATGGACAGAAACTTGCCAGGGTGAGTCTTGAAACCCTCGGCAATTTGGCCACGTGTTTAAGAGGGTTGGCCCCCAAAGGTTCCAGCTGAATCCTCAAGCTTTGCTCTGGACACTTGTGCCCGTGAAGGTGGACGGGTCCTAAAACGAGCCTTCTGCAGCCCCTCTGCGGTCAGTCCCTCCACCGCTTTGCTGTCTCAAATCCATCTGCAGTGGCTGTAAAAGGCTGTCAGCCCGGGCTAGCAGTAAATCTTCCCTCCCGTTCAAAAAGGCTGACAAGAGAGAAGCAGCTCGAGTCTGCACCCTAGGCTTGCAAACTTTCCGGCCCTGCTGGGCTGGGCTGGGCTGGGCTCGCCTTGCCCGACCCTGCGTGGTTTTTTTCTCTCCCCCACGGTGGCCTAATGCAGCTGTGAACCACAGAGGCTGATGCATGCTTTTATGGTGGCGGGGATGGGGGGGAGAAAAGGTCCGACTGTATTCCTTGTTCCCCCGGCTGATGCTGCTTAAAACACACGGCCCCTGGCTTTTTGCGCCTTTGTGAAAACATGGTGAGATTTTGCTGGCAAACAGGTTTTTCTGGCTGATTCTCCTGAAGATGGATATGTTCCTTCACTGAGGGAAGCCAGGGTCTCTCAGGAATGTTTGTAGGCCAAGGAGGTTCATTGGTATTTGGGGGAGCCCTGAGATTTGGGGATAGACCTGTTTCTGAACCTGCCTCTTCAGGGCCATCACTGGCCCGGCTGGCCAAGCAGTCCTAGAAAAACAGCGCATCCTCCGGACATACTGCCTAGAGTTTCATGGCCAAGTCCGGCAGGCAGAGAGGCCAGCGAGCTATGGGTCTGGAGTGCAAATACCTGGCTTTGGACTCTTCTATTCCTGACCCTGTGAATAAAACCAGCCCACCTCTCCAGCCCCCACCGTCTGTCTAACCAAGCAGGGCTGCAGCTTTCTGCTCCACCTCCTGGGGCCCCTGGCGGAAGTCCTCAGGGCAGGATGCTTGCAAGCTGTTATTGGTGGGGTGGAAATACACCTTGGGAGTGAAACGAGTTGACGTTTGTGAAGCACGCAGACATTTTCCCGCTCTCCAGGCTGGAAACGTGTGACTCCTTGGGAACCCAGTGGGGGTGGGAGGTGGAGGGAGCGGAGCGACAGAATTGTTGTTACGGTGACGTTGAGATAACCTGCGTTTCGGGTGTATGGAAAGATTAACCTCGGGGCTCCCCTTTCTCCAAGGAAGAACTCGGCATGTAAACATGGAAATATAAACATACACATGCACAAATGCACACAGCATTGACTGCTATTAGGCATGTAGATTTTTATTTTTAAAGCTATTAGGCATGTAGATTTTTTATTTTTAACGATTTTATTTATTTGTTTATTTATAGAGGGGGGAGGGAGGGAGAAAGAAAGGGAGAGGAACATCGATACAAGAAAGATATAGCAGAGAGAGAGACACACACTGATTAGTTATCTCTTGAAGGCCCCCACCTGGGCACCTCACCCCACAACCCAGGCATGCGCCTGGACCAGAACTCGAACCTGAGATCTTTTGGGTCACAGGCTACTGCTCAATCCACTGAGCCACACCAGCCAGGGCAGGCATGTGGATTTTGAAATCATTTTTTTTTTTTTTTGCCTTTGTCCAATCTGCTCTCCTGAAGCAATCACCCCAAGGGTGACTTTAAAGTCCAAATTGAATGATTATTTTCCCACCATGCTATGTACCTTCAGTAGCTTCCCACTGCTCTTAAGACCAAAAATTTCGGATGCATCTACAGGGTCTAGTCCTGCACATTTCTCTGGCTCGATCTGTCTCAAGGCTTCAGTCATTGTTCTCTGCTTCAGCTGAATGAAGAACCTTCCCGGAAGAGCTCTTCCCCCGTGGGCCTGGGTCCCCCCCAGAATGAACCCATGTGGAGCAGACTCCATGGACCCCACCCTGCAGCTGGCAGCTAAGCCTCAGGGACAAAGGCTGCTTGTTGATGCTACTGGGGCTTTGTGGTTGTTTGTTTCACAGCAGTAGCTGACTGATACAAGGCACCCTGATTTTCTTTTCATCATTCATTCCTGCCAGGATCCTTCTCTCAAGAAGCCCTTTCTGACCTCTATTAGGCACAAACTCTCTGTAAGACAACGTTTTGGCACTTACCAGAGTTGTACCTTTATGGGTTCTTTTAATTGTTATCTCTCTCTCGCCCTAAGGCCCTATGAAGTCAGGAGCCTTCTATGCCGTTGACCTGTGCCTTCCCAGTCCCTGGCGGAGGGTCTTTTCAGCCACAGAGTAGAGACTCAGGACATTTTGTTGAATGAATCAGTGAATGAAGGAAGGGGTTGAGCACCA